AGTAAATGTGTCTCTGTTTTCAGATGACATGGTTTTATATGCAGAAATCCCTAAAGACTACAAAAAAAAATCCTGTTAGAATCAATAAACAATTCAGTAAAATAGCAGGATAAAAAATCAACATAAAAAATTATTTGCATTCTATATACTAACAACAAACTATCCAAAAAGGAAATTAAGAAAACAATCTCATTTAAAATACCACCGAAAAGAATAAAATATTTGGAAATAAACTTAACTAAAAGGATGAAAGACTTGTAAACTGAAAACCACAAAGCATTGGTGAAAGAAAGTAAAAAGGACACAAATACATGGAAAGATATCCTGTGTTCATAGATTGTAAGACTCAATATTTTCAACATGCCCATACTCCTCAATACAATCTACAGAATCAATACAATCCATATCAAAATCCCAAGGACATTTTTCACAAGAAAATAGAAAAAACAATTCTAAAATTCATGTGAAACCACAGAAGACCCCAAAGACCCAAAGCAATCCTAAGAAAAACTACTGCTGGAGGCACCCCACTTCCTAATTTCAAACTATATTACAAAGCTATAGTAACTAAAACAGCATGGCACTGGCACAGAGACAGACATATATACCAATGGAACAGAATAGAGAGCCCAGCAATACACTGATGTATATACATATGGTCAATATATCTTTAAAAAGGGTACCAAGAATATACAATAGGGAAAGGTTGCTCTCTTCAACAAATGTTGCTGGGAAAACTGATATCCACATGCAAACGAATGAAATTAGACCCTTCTATTACATCATACGCAAAAATCAACTCAACTAAATTAAAGACTTAAATCAAGACCTGAAACTGTACAGCTCTTAGAAGAAAACATAGGAGAAAAGCTTCATGACATTGGACTGGGCAGTGATTTCTTGGGTATGACACCAAAAGCAAAGTCGACAAAAGCAGAAATAGACACATGGGACTATATCAAACTAAAACACGTACAACAAAGGAAGCAACTGAGAGAGTGAAAAGTCAACCTATAGAATGGAAGAAAATAATTGCAAACCATACATTTGATGAGGGTCAATTTCCAAAATAAAAATAACTTGCACAACTCAACAGCAAAAATAGCCCAATTTTAAAAATGGACAAAGGGCTTAAATGGAAATGTCTCCAAAAAAGATATACAAATGGCCAAAAAGTATATGAAAAGGTGTTCAAAATCATTAATCATAAGGAAATGCAAATCAAAACTACAATAAGATATCACGTCACACCTGTTAAAATGATTAATACCAAAAAGACAAGAAATAACAAGTGTTGGCAAGGATGTGGAGAAAAGGCAACACTGTGCACTGTTGGTGGGAATGTAAATTGGCTCAGCCTTTATGAAAAACAATATGGAGGTTGCTCAAAAACTTAAAATTAGAACTACTATATGATTCAGTAATCCCATTTCTGGGATTTATCCAAAAGGACTGAAATCGGGATCTCAAGGAATTATTTGCGCACCTATGTTCATTTCAGCATTATTCACAGTAGCCAAGATGTGGAAACAACCTAAATGTCCATTATGAATGGCTTAAAAATGTGATATATACATATATGGAATATTCAGCCTTAAAAAAAGAAGAAAGTCCAGCCATTTGTGACAACATGGATGAATCTTCAAGTCTTTATTCTAAGTGTAATAAGTCAGTGATAGAAGGACAAATACCGCATTATTCCAGTTACATGAGCTATATAAAATAGTCAAACTCATAGAAGCAAAGAGTAAAATAGCAGTTTCCAGGGGCTTTGGGAAGGGGTCATGAGGAATAATTGTTTTTAATGGATATGGAGTTTCAGTTTGGGAAGATGAAAAAAGTTCTGGGAGATGATTGGCGATGTTTGCACAACAATGTGAATGTACTCAATGCCACTGAACTGTACACTTAAAAGATGATTAAAATGGTAAGTTTTATGTTATGTATATTGTATCACAATAAAAAAAGTACCAAGGAAGAGGGACAGACTATGAGTGAGGTTGGCAGTAAACAGACAGAAAAATTGTTAACTGTCGAGGATAGAGCTGAAAGCATGGATTTCCTTTCTGGTTCTGGACTACAGAAGCATGTCAATTTGGTTTAAAGATTATGGTTGATAACAAAGAAAGATGATTCTTTGCAGGGTTCCAGCCAGCTCTTCATCGCCTCAGAAGCTGAGAGAGAAAAGACGGTAGTGAAGCCTCCTTTCTATAGTGTTTATATTCTCTAACTCTGGATGTCTTTATACATGAGTGCTTCGCTGAGTGTGATTTTCTCAATGGCTACTGTGTGAAAGCATAGTAAAGCACTTACTTTACTCTAAGTCCTCATGATTCTCTCTCTGTGGAGTAGAGAGAAAAACTATAATCCCCTGACTACATCACAAGAATCTGTCCTCTAGGATCTCACCCCAAAGGAAATTGCTATGTCTATGAATTTTAAGTTACTAAATCTTTGATAGCTGGGAACCTTGCCATCTAAGTCTTCTTGGTCAGTCACTAATAAAAATGTGACAATCTCCCAGGGCAATCTGGCACATAACCTTGAAGACTAGCATTTCTATTCTCAGGACGACCTTATCATTCAGAACAGTCATGTTTTCGAGAGAAATCCATTCTCTCAACTCTGGCCTATGTCTAAAACCACTCTATATTCCTATGCCAGGCTCACCAATGCCAAAATGAGCTACAAAGCCCTGTCATGAATCTTTCCAACTTACCTTACCAAGTCTCATCCTAAACTATAGCTGAAGACATAAGTTTAAGCCAAAGCTCAACTGGATTTCTAAAACTGGTCTCTAATAATGTTTGTGGGTGCCAGGTGGGAGTAAATGAAAGACCTTGGCTGATGCTTCAGCAACGACTCCAACAGGGCCAATTACTAATCCTCTGAGTACTTGTGAGGTCAATGCATTACCAAATCCTTCACTTCCAGAAAGTCTATTTAAACATTTCTCTAGAGTAAATGAAGAAAAATTACAAAGAAGGATCTTAAAGTCCGTGTACCGACAAGCTGAAGATTTGTTTGGGAGACACTGTTCCCAAGCCTAGTCGGTTAGAAGGAGGGCTTAAATCAGGAATAAAAGTAATTCTCTCCACATTGTTCATGGGCTTTTTGGAAACAAAAATTTGGGAGAATTTATTTAAGAAAACAATGTCCAATCAAGTGGATTCAATTCACTTATATATTTCGTAGTTGCATACACTAACTTTTCCTGACTTGAAGAACATAGTTTTTAATTTGGATTGGATAGAGTCCTAAGAGATCTGAAAAAAAAATATATTTTGAAGATGTATTTACACCTTCACAGGAAACCAGGAAAGTGAGTAGAAATTAAATGCTAGAGCTATCACCATTTCTTGACTGATAATGGGAACCAAAATAACGTAAAATGTTCAAGATTGGGAAAGTTGTCTAGAGAGATAAAAAATTCAGTGTCTCACTCGGCAGCTCTTGGAGTCTATTTGTGGCTGTGGTGCATATGCCCTGAGGGGAAGAAAGCAATGACTGGGCTTAATCTGAAAACTGAGGAATCCACAATCAACTAGATCCAGGTCAGTGAGAATTAAATCTTTCTCCTGATTTTATTTAGATTAACTTAATTTAGCCAATTTATTTTCACTGAAATAGGTTTGTAGTTATATTCTATGAATTGAAGGTTAATCTTTTCCCTAAAAATGAATTTGCACACAATGACACAAAAATATCAATGAAAAACACTATCTGTAATGTTACCAAACAAGACGCTGTTGAGACTATTAAAGTCACTTTTCCAACATTGTGGTTAACATTTATGTCTCACCAAGAAGATTGATTCTGTGGATTTCTGCTTGTAATGATTTGAAATTCTTTCCCCCTTTCATGACCTCCATTTGCCACGTTGAAGTTAGAATTTGTGAATTAAATCTATTAAAAATGACTAAACTTAGTCACCATCTATTGCAGCCATGGATAGAGAAGAAGCAACTCAGAGACTGAGCTTTCCTGAAAACTAAAGCTATCTTTCCTCTCCTTTATTGAAGCTGAAAGATCACGATGCTGAATTCTGTGTTCAGAAATTTTTGAAGAAAAATATGTGCTTATGTTTCTTCGCAGGGATTGGAGAAAAAAGAAAAATAAGGGGAGAGGAACAAAATATCTTAGATCTTTTGTAACAACAACGTGTACTCACTCTTGAAAGTCTATGTACAGATCCTTCCAAAAATAGATATACATATATTCTTGTATATATTCAATATTTCCACTAGTTAGCAATGAAAACTTCAAGTTCATCTTAATTGATTAAACTTATGCCAAAAGGGAAAACTGTATTACCTTAGGTGACCCTAACATTTCAGGCTTGTCAGTAGGAAACTCCGGGAGAATTCATGACATTTAATTCCACTTGTCAAAGGTCAGTAGAGTAATATATCTAATCCAGAGCACTTTTCTACATGTGATGAAATAAGAACTGCACAGAGAATTCATTTAAGAAACATTGGGAACATTTCAGGGAAATTCATACCGCTTACATGTCCACATTCAAAGATGTGGAAAGAGAGAATATGAAAGAGTCATGTCAAGCCACACACAACATCTGGGGCTGTTGAGTGAATGCTGCTCAAAGAGCTGATCTAAGCTAGTTCCTTGGCATTTTGAGGGGAAAAAAACTCCATCGGCAGCTCTGTCTCTGTCTGTCTGTGCAGGTGCATTCACTTGACAGAAAGGAATAACAGTTCAAAGAACACAGCTGGTATAAATATAGTAAGGCTTGGTACTTTCATATCTGATACACAGATGACTTTTAAAAGAATATTGTTTAGGGCCAGCCCAGTGGCGCAGCGGTTAAGTTTGCACTTTCCGCTTCTCAGCGACCCGGGGTTCGCCGGTTCAGATCCCGGGTGCAGACGTGGCACCGCTTGGCAAGCCATGCTGTGGTAGGCATCCCACATATAAAAGTAGAGGAAGATGGGCATGGATGTTATCTCAGGACCAGTCTTCCTCAGCAAAAAGAGGAGGATTGGCAGCAGTTAGCTTAGGGCTAATCTTCCTTGGGAAAAAAAAAAGAATATTGTGATCATATACTTACAGGTATTCATGCCAATAGACAAGAATAACTTGAAAATAAATGTTATTGGTGAAATTTGTCCACAAAAGTGATATATAGCCATCTGTGAGACTTTTAGATCAAGAAACTTTGGAAGTCAACCATAAGTCAACATTTGTAATAACACCTTGCTTGTATTCTGGTGTTAGTAAGGTATAGCCACTATCCAATTAATAGGAATAAGGAAAATTTAACCTCCTTCCTTTCTGCTTTACAACTATCTGCAAAATGGCAGTGAGTGGAAGGTCCAGTCACAGAGACCAGGACTCAGGAGATGATGGAATATTTTAAATGGAATTAAAAATATCATCACTTAGAAATACTATGATCTTTCCAGATGGATCATTTGCTTACAACCCAAGCTGAATCAATGGAAAACATGAACAATGTAACAGAATTCATCCTGCTGGGTCTGACCCAGAATACAGAACTGCAGAAAGTCTTATTTGCTGTGTTTTTAATCCTCTACTTGATCACATTGTCAGGTAACCTGCTCATCTCAGTCACCATCTTCATCAGCCCAGCCCTGGGCTCACCCATGTACTTTTTTCTGTCCTGTTTGTCCATTATAGATGGTTTATACTCTTCTTCCGTAGCACCCAAAATGATCTTTGACTTGATCTCTGAGAAGAGCACCATATCCTTGAATGGCTGCATGACTCAGCTCTTTGCTGAACATTTCTTTGCTGGAACTGAGATCATCGTGTTAATTGTCATGGCCTATGACCGCTATGTAGCCATCTGTAAGCCCTTGCACTATATGACCGTCATGAAGAGACCTGTGTGTGGTTTCCTGGTGGGAATGGCTGTAGTTTTAGGGTTTCTTCATGGAGGGATCCAGATTTTGTTCATGATCCAGTTACCATTCTGTGGCCCCAATGTCATTGACCATTTTATGTGTGATATAATACCTCTTCTGGAGCTGGCCTGCACAGACACTCACACTTTGGGGCCTCTGATTGCTGCCAACAGTGGGTCTCTCTGTTTGATCATTTTTTCTATGCTGGTTATTTCCTATGTCCTCATCCTATGCTCCCTGAGGACACATAGCTCTGAAGGGCGTCACAAAGCCCTATCTACTTGTGCCTCTCATGTCACTGTTGTCATCTTATTCTTTGTACCTTGTTCATTTCTGTACCTAAGACCCGTGACCTCCTTCCCTGCTGACAAAGCTGTGACTGTGTTTTGCACCATAGGAACTCCTATGTTGAACCCTTTGATCTACACCCTCAGAAATACAGAAATGAAAAATGTCATGAAGAAACTCTGGGGGCAAATAATGAAAACTGGAGCTAAATAAATCTTGTGGTTGGAGTATCTAGGCAAAAAAAATCTAGTGATCTTTTATAGAGATTTATCCTCCTCCTTAGTTCGTTAAACTTGGGACAGTCAATTATCCTGCCTGGATCAGTTTCCTTCAGGAGCCCACATGTTGTGGACAGGGCTGACATATCCATTATGGCACAGTGGGCACAGTGCGCAGGGCCTATTATAGTTTTAGGAGCCCTTGAAATATGTCAATTTCTTTTAAAATAAGAATAAAAAATGAATGTAACCCAACTTTGAGAACAGTGGTCTTTACACCAATGCAGCCATAAAATATAATTTTTACTACCTTTATAGAGGAAAGAATCCATGAGGACAAAAGTATGAAAGGCCCACAAAAGGCATAGCATTGCCCTGATTGTGGGTATGAAACAGATCAACAGCAATATTCTTGAACACTCTTTGTACCCAGCACTACAGTTAGAATGGAGTTTTATTTTAAAAGAGGAAAAACAATTAAATATGGAAAATGTGTAGAACAGTAGGAAAAGAGGCTTCAAAAAGTACTTTTAATCAAAATATACTTCTTATCTTCCTAAGTTTAAGAGGTTTTTATATGTCCTCCCATAACAAGAATAAAAAATTTTTTACTTATTACAATCTGAAGAAGAGTGCATTTGCATGCTAAGGTGCTTTCAAAAAATTACATCTCCACCACTCTCTGTAGCATACAATTGTCTACAAAAAGAATTAGAATTAGAATTGGCTGGTGCAAAGGAAACATAATTGAGAGTTAAGGCAGAAAGTATTTGTACATTAAAGGCTTGTCTTAGACACAAAGGAAAAGAAGACTTTGGAAACAAAACAACTGTTTTAGAAAATCGCTAGTGATGTAAGAACAAGTTTATGCCATTAAGTTGGACTTGATCACAAATCTGGATTATAGAAAAGAAACCATATCATGAACATAATGAAATTCTAAGAGCTTCGGAAATAGAAGGTTTGAAGTCAGGCATTAAGAGCTTTGGATCAAATAGTCTTGATTTTGCATCTTGTCTTCAGCTTTAATTAGCCTTGTAAATGTAAGCAAGTTGCTCCACCTCTGCACCTGTTTTTGTGTTTCTTTTTCAAAGATCAGCACCTGAGCTAACAACTGTTGCCAATCTTCTTTTTTTTCTTCTTCTTTCTCCCCAAAGAGGCCCCAGTACATAGTTGTGTATTCTAGTTGTGAGTGCCTCTGGTTGTGCTATACGGACGCTGCCTCAGTGTGGCCTGATGAGCAGTGCCATGTCTGCGCCCAGGATTCAAACCAGTGAAACCCTAGACCACTGAAGCAGAGCGTGTGAACTTAACCACTCAGCCATGGGGCCAGCCCCTCTCTACCTGTTTCTTAATCCGTAAAAGGGAAATAAAATTACATACATCCTTATGTTGTAAGAATTAAGCAATTTAAATTGAAAAAATTAGTTAGCTGAAAGATAGTGAAAATTTCTGAGATGCTGTATAGCTGTCAGAGATGTTGTCAGGGCATAAGGTATTCTGGGGACTGCAGTTCCTAACAGAGGAGACCAAGGACACTGCTGCTGTCTTTCATTAACCATGATCACAGAAGGCCCAAACATGTGACTCAGCCTCACTTCACTTCAAAATATGTCATAAACGGCATCCACTGACAAGCAGGAACAGCATAATGGTGAGTAATTACTTCAGCAAGAAAACTTAACGGGGTCAATGAGCAGGTCTCTGGACACTAAGAGCTAGCCCATCACCAGCTGTGTATTCTGGGATTAAAATGCCTTTAAATATCTCTGTAGATACAAATGGGAGAGCTGGTTGGAGCAACTGAGAGATGCCTAAGTAGAACTAATTTCAAAAGCTCTCACTAATGGTGGATTCTGTCTTGTCCAGTCCTCCAGAATAAGGAGGAAAAGGGAAAACCCGGTGCTGAGACTAAAAGACCTTCCTCTGTATAGAGTTTGTGATTCTTGAGGAAGAGCTCAGAAATCTCTTTTCAGGAGAAGATTTCTCACCCAGGGATTTTAATATGATGTGATGCTGACATTTCTCATGCTCTCAGAACTTATATAGGTTAGATCTCACTATATACAAAGACCTTTAAAAATAGATGTTTTGCCATAAATTATATGTGACCATCTTGTAAATATATGCAAGCAATGGTAGGTTTAAAAAATCAAATTTATCTTTTAAAGATCTAGTTCTTGTTCCCAAGAAAAATGGAATGAAAAAGGACAGTGTAAAAATAAGGAGAGGAGAAGGTAGAGTAAGATAGCTAATGTTAATTGAGCACTTTTCGTGGCTAAAGTCTTGACCTAAGCACTCACTTTACATCTTTTGGACGCAATTGATTTACGACCCTAATTTCTTTCTGTCCTTGATTTATTTGAATCCCCAAACTACGGAACTTACTTCTGTCTAAAACATTTCATTATTTGAACATAATGGTGACTCTACCCATAAGCTAAGGTGTAAGCATTAATAAAACAATGTTAGTAAAATTAATTATGACAGCTTTTTTTATTGAGTATTTACTATGTGCAAAGTCCTTTATACTCTTTCTGTTATTTAATTCTCAGTACAGCTCAATTAAGTGCAGTAATGTGGATGTTCTCATTTCATAAATTAGGAAACCAAGGGATAGAGTGGTCCATTGCATTGCTCAAGATCAGTTAGCTAACACTTAGCTGAGTCAAAATTCAAATCTGAGCTTGTCTGACCTAAACTCTTTGTGCTTTATGAAACCCATTTTGTATCCCCTTAAGGTAAACAGACAACAAGTTAAATTTCTTACATTTCTTTCTAATCTTTGAAATTCTCTTCTTGAAACCCTTTGGCCTTCATTGTTTGAAAGAATTTGAAGGTAGACTTGCTTTCATAGATAGGCCAGGCTGAAAATGTCTGAGTCTGCAAAGAATCAGCTGGTGACCAGTTGGTAACTTATAACTCTGTAAGTGTTTTGAGTTCCACATAACAGGAAATTTCTTTGAAATTATTGTCTTCTCCATCTGCACTGGTTTGTACATAAAGAAGTACTTTGTGGCTTATATAGTATTACTTTCCTCTGATAAATTTAAAAAAAAACCAAATATGTTTCCTACGAATGTGTGTTCATCCTATGATTGTCCATTAAAACAAAACAAAACAAAACAAGAAAACTCAACTTGAGGGAGGGGAGTTCAAGAGAGGCGAAAAACTATTTTTTCAAGTAGCTTGCCAGTAGCCGTATAACAATGAGTTGCAGAATAAAAATCTCAAATATGTCTTCCTTTTTGATTTCACATGTGTATTTTCAACAGTGCTTAAAATTCAGAGGCTTACATTATTTCCAGCTTCTGTTCTTCTGTTTTCCTTTTCCCACTGGCAGGCAAGGGAGCTACCATTTATTAGGCTCCCATCAACCTGTCAGACACTATGCTCTTCTTACACATTTGTGTCTCATAACACACATATATGTATGTATAAGGGCATACATTAATGAATAAATGCCCACTTTTGGACAAATAAACTGAGGATCAGAAAAGTTTACTGTGTAAGATGCCTTGTAAGCTCAACAAAAAAAGTAATTTAGCCCCTGAGAGTAACTTTTAAGATGGTTGAGGTTTAACCAAGTTTATAGAAGAAGCTGAAGGAGGAGGTGGAGGAGGAGAAAAAGATGATGACATCTAAAAGCATATCTACCAAAATGTTGATAGTGACTATCTCTAGGTAGTGTGCTTATAGGTGGGTTTACACACACACACACACACACACACATCTTTATTTTCTTATGTATTTCCCATCTTTTTCTAAATTTTAAAATAGATACATGTTTTGAGGGAAAAATATTTTACATAGTGTCCAAAAGGGAAACACTATTACCTTTGTAAACAAAATTAGTAATAATTTTTAAATTATATGGAAAACTTCTGGTGACATTTACTCATGTCTTTTTTCTAGCAGGTTGAATTTTTTTAAAAATTAAGCAGCATTCATAAGTTAGTTGAACCATTATTAATCACGATTTGGAAAAGAAACAAGGGGGCACTAAGATCAGTCCTTTATGACATTTGATGTTTTAACTGCACCAGAAATAAAGGTGCATTTCAAGTTTCAACTAAAGTAAGAACGCTTTTCTAAAAAGCCTCTTGAGATAAAATTGTGGCAAGCTGGCAAAAAGATAGGCTTATTTTTCAGCGAGCCTCATCATGATCTTTTTCTAGTTGGATTGGGAAAATCATCTCTATTTATACTTTTATAGTCTAACAAGGAGAAATGAATCGATATCGAATTGCAAGGTCTCAGTTTATACCTAGCTATAGACTGTCAAACTACGACAAAGTGAAAGAAGACAATACTTATTTTGCCTGAGAACTCTATAACTGTTGTTTTTGTTATACGTAGAAGTTTGGACCTAAAATAATAATTATTTCTTGATGATCTCCTGAACTTAGGAGTTTTGGGAGAGTAATTTTGAAATAGTCGTAGTAAAGAAATTGCTTTTCACATTAATTTTTAGTTGTTTTTTTCTTAGTGTAAAAAGTCGATATGTTGCAACATGGTGAATTACAGATTAACTGTCAATCAAACGATAAGTTTATTATATATTATGGGAGCCTACACTCTTAAAGGGTGAAGCCTCAGAAGGGATATGGTCAGAATTTGTAAAACCAGGAAAAGAATGGAATGAACATGCATGTATGTTTCAGATTCCAAAGGACTAGCATTCCTGGAATTTGAAACAGAAAGAGTTAGAAAATATATAAGTAAATACCACTTTGTATCATTGGCCAAAAAATAAACCACCCTACGCTAAATGAAGCATATATTTCAAACTTAGGAGAGATAGAAAAGCAAAAGAAAACAGCCTCTGTGTGGAAGGTTAGGAAAGACTTGAAGTATGTATACAATAATATCAAGTAAAACATATTGGGTGTATATGTGCAACACGCTGGGTTAAGACCTTTACGTAGATTATCTAATTTAATTCTCACAATAACACTGTAAACACCTATTATGCTTGTCTTTGTCTTTATCTTAAAGAAAGGCAGCACGGGCTTATAGAGGTTTGGTCATTTACTCAAGGTCATGCCATGAGTAAGCATGGGAAATAAGATAAGCTCAGGCTGATCTGTCTCCAGAGCCAGGTCTTACCCTCTCTGCCACAGTGTAGCAGCCATACTGCTGATGTCATAAAGGGTGATGAGAAGCAATGAA